CCCCCCGGTCAAAGAAAGGGTGTACCCCGTCACCTAATGTAAAACAGAGTCAACTAAACAAGGTACCCCCCCCCCTTTCCCACTTTTTAAACCACACCGAGTTTCCTTTAAATGGGAGAGAAAAACAACAAATAGCTTTCACTAGACCATGCTGATAAAGGTTTGTTGATCTAACATCTACGAACATTTCAGGTCCATCTTTGATTAAATAAATAAATTGTGTCACGAAAAGTGGTTTATCAACACTTGTGCGCACGATAATTAGGACATAAAAATGGTGATAGCGAAGCAAACACATTTCATGAATGTAAACGTCTCACGACCTGTCACTGGTTGAGGGAAAAATAAAATATATATGTTTTTTAAAATGTCATGCTTTGGTCAACTCACCTCGGCTTTCAAACATATCGTAGTTTGACATCATCTCTCAAGCTTCCAACCAAGACTCCTGAACACAGCAACGTAAAATTACAACTCCCATTGATGGGCACCAACCTCCTAGCATTCCACGAGAGCACAACCGCGTCCACTCACGGTCTTGTTATGCGACGCAACAGATGGTGAGTTCTTGATACCGACTGTTGGTCGCGATTGTCAGATGCACAGTTGTCGCCCATGAGTTCAGTATTGGATTTTTTCCGCCCATCGATTTTCATACTTTAAAAAAATAAAATAAAATAAAAATATCAGGCGTAAGTTGCTCTATGTTGTCAGGTGTTGGTAGAGATCATTTAACAAAGCCTGGTTATGTTAGTTGCATTTCAAGCCTTGCAAAGTTGGGCCGTTTATATGTTAAGGTGTATGACATATCACGTGCTCCGTTTGGCGAAAAGAAATGGAGTTCTGAACTCTGACCTTTGTTTTCCACGATAGTTTAATTTTGGTAACTAAACTGGTTCCTTAACACACGAAGGAAATGTTTTCATCGCCGTCTAATGCTCTAAGAATAAATTCGATATTTTAATAAATCTCAACATTAAGTGAAATGAGCGAAACAAAGTATGTGAAAACCTGAAAAAGGAACGCAACAAAACAATGAATGTGTCGTCAGGAAGCCTTCGCCAGCGAAAAAAAAACAATAGACAAAAAAAAATTAAATTAAAAAAAATAGCAATGAGCTGAAAAGCAGTATCCGAGAGGCAACAAAAAATTTTGATTTAAAAAAAAAAAGAACGTTTGATGCCCTCTCGGATACTGCTTTTCAGCTAAGAGCTATTTAACAAAAAACAAACAAACAAAAAAATTATGTTTTTTCTTCGCTGACGAAGACTTCCTGTTGACACGTTTGTTGTCTGTTGCGTTCCTTCTTTTGGTTTTCACATTCTTTGTTTTACTAATTTACTTTTTTGCTAAACTGATTGCAGTCCCCCCCCCCCCCATTATTAAAACACTAAGTGATAACGTTTCATAGTCTGGGGTCTTGTCAAAAACAAAACTCGATACATTCTATTTGCTAATAATAAACAAAAATTAAATTAAAAGCATGACACTTGACCGTGGAGTGCGCCTAGTTGTGCATTTACGGTTATTTTCCAGCCACATCTATAC